AGGTCGCTGAGGTCACCGAGCCGCTCAAAGCGACCCAAAAGCGAGCTGCCAAGGTTGTTCAACCTTGCAGGCTTGTCGGGGTGGCCATCTGGAGTGAGCCGGACAGCATCCTCTTTCATCATGATGGACTTGTTAAGGTCGCTGAGATCACCAAGCCGCTCAAAGCGACGAAAAAGCGAATTGCCAAGGTTGTTCAACATTGCAGGCTTGTCGGGGTGGCCATCTGGAGTGAGCCGGACAGCATCCTCAAACATCATGATGGACTTGTTGAGGTCGCTGAGGTCACCAACCCGCTCAAAGCGACCCAAGAGCGAATTGCCAAGGTTGTTCAACATTGCAGGCTTGTCAGGGTGGCCATCAGGAGTGAGAGTAACAGCTGCTTCAAATCTCAATACAGACTGGTTGAGATCATCAAGATCACCAAGCCGCCGAAACCGTATGAGGAGTGATATCCCGAGGTCATTCAGCCTTGAGGGCTTCTGCAGATCTACCTCCAAAGTGCGCTCAACAGCCGCTTCGAGCATCACAACAGATTGGTTGATATCTGCCAAGTTACCAAACTGTTGAAAGTGTTGTTGCAAGGACCTTCCAAGATCTGTAAGATGGCTGATAGACCTTGGGTCATCCCGAACGGCATCCTTATATGCGCAGACTGCCTGCTTCAGGTCATCCACATTCCCAGATGCCTCGTACGACTGTAAAAGAATATCCCCGAGGATATTGAGACACCCAGCCCTGTTCTCATTGCTTTGGAGGCAGAGTAGAATCCTCTCATGCATCACCCAACGCTGCAGAGCATCCATCGAAAATTGGGCTTTCATTGAGTCCTCATACATCTTCTGCACTTCACTTTTGATCCCTGGACCCTTGATAGAAGCAACTGTAGAAAATTCAGAGAATAGGCCAGCAATATATAGGGAATCTCACTTGTATCTTCTGGCATACCATTGAGATCTAAACCAGATACCTTGTGGTATGGCAACTCAGAAACTGAGAAACCAGCATTGAAATTCAAAGAAGGGCCATCGGGATTCACTTTATTGCACTTGAGTTGGAAGGCTACATTGTAATTTTGAGTGACAGTGCTGAGACTATCGGACGGTGCTCCTACATTTCTTTGATTCTACAGATTCAAGAACTTCGCCTCTCCCGATTTCAACATAGCCTACCAGTCGTGTTCCTTCAGTTTCACTCTCCCACAAGATGGTCACTGAGAAAGTAGAAGCATGGGGTGGGCTGTGAGAGGAAGTGAGAGTTGCAGTGAATCCCATTTCTATATATAACACACGCACATTTTGCACCCAAAGCCGAGTTTCCAACTCATTTGATTGTCCTCCGATGCCACTGGCAACGCTTGCAGGAAAATTTGATCCTCAACAATGAGCTGGGCAAACATTTTCATGTCACCCGGAAGATCGGCATGGGGGTTAGTCAATGATGTAACACGGATACCTGTGAGAGAGGACTAAGTATGGTTTGGCGGCGTCGACATAGGCAAATGCTTACTGTGAAGCTGAATGCTGATTGAAAGACATTAATTGAAATTGAAAGTCTCGAGAGGGGGTCCGGGGTACTCACACTGTTTTCAACTTGGACATGGTTGTGAGGGGAAGGGTTGAGAAGCTTGAAGGCAACGAATCAATCTTATATATATCAGATCTCCACACCGCAACGTGGCTTCAAGGTGCTGTAAAGGCATGGCACCACACATGTCTCGAATTGGCAATGCAACGTGCATGCACGGTGTCGCCGCTCCCAGCGCTTCCATCAGCGCCTATCTTGTACCCGGAAGACAAGGTACAGCGGAAAGGCGACTCTCCTGTTCAATACCTCCGTGTAAATAGCCTGACTACCAACGTCGCCAAACCTCACTGGTAGTGTGTTGCCAAACACCACATCCTGATACTTATCCAAACCACCTAAAATACAATGCCTCGCGTTAACCCCCCAACGGTACAGCTGTCTGTGGCGTTTTCATGCAACGTGCATTCGCAGTGTCACCGCTCTCAGCGCTTCCATCAGCGCCTATCTCGTACCCGGGGGACAAGGTACGGCGGAAAGGCGACTCTCCCACTGTTCGAAATCTCTGTAAACTCCTCCAGCACCAACATCTACAAACCTCACACTGGTGATGTGTTGCCGAACACCACGTCCTGGCAAACCCAAAATACAAAGCGTCGCGTCAACCCCTCAACGATACAGCTGTCTGTGGCATTTTCATTTCCCATCGGTCATTCGGCATCGGAGTTAATTATAAGGCGCTGTAACCTGCTACGTACTCTAGATTCCGAGACGACAGCGCTAACGGAAGCTGAGGCCCACCTACATATAGTATCCTGCGCCCGTGGTGATTGCATGCGTTGCAGAAAAATCGACCGACATTGGCGCTGGCAGGACGGGTACGCCGTGCCTGCAAAAGACGGCCTGCGACACATGGCTCTCGTCGGGCACGGTTAGAAGCACGTCAGTGTAGCAGCCGCTGCGCGGCGAGCGCGAATAAGGCGGATCACGCGGCATGCATGCGCCGTGCGACAACGCGTGCGGCGGGCGAGGACGCACGGGCACAGGCGAGGACGCACGGGCACGGGCACGGAACGGCAGAGCGCCGATGGCGGGATCGGGGCGTGCCACAAGCAGCGAGTACGCACCTTTATTTTTTTTTTTTTTAAAATCATCCGGAAGAAATCGTCCGTGCTTTCAACTTAGTGATCGAAAGGGCGGGGGTGGCGTAAAGAAAGGCACTGGGGCGACGGGTAAGAATGTTGCAAGTTGCCGCATGCGCCCACAGCCGGCATGAGAAGTCGTGCCGCTTCTTCCTCCGTGCGCAGAAGCCCGCGCCGAATCCGCAGGCAGAGAGGTCGGGCATCAACAGCAGCGCGCGTGATCAGTACGTCCTCGCGACTACATGGCGAAATGAACTGCGATACGCGCCTCTCGTCGAGCACGGTATGTGAAAGCGCGTCAGGGCAGAGAGAGGGTATGGCGGATAACACAGACGCAGGCGCAGGCGCAGGCACATGTGACGGTCGAAGACGCGGGCACGGAACGAGATGGCGCGGGAGGTGTGGTAGCGTAACGAGATCGAGGTGATGGCGCGGTGTCAGAGTAAGGTACTGGGGTGCGAGCGCCCCCCCCGTATCATGCCCCAATTCCAGAGATGGAAATGCAAAGAGGAGGACAACGCACGGTTCGGGTAAATATAACTCAAATTCCCGTGTGCGAAGAAGATGTCGAGCTATCGAGGTCCCGGTCAGCATCCTAATCGCTGGAAAGCAATGAGGAGAACGTACCTCAAACGTGGAAATGGCTACGGTGGCACCTGGCTGGGGCGTCGGCACTGCGCCCAATGAACCTGAGGAGTCCTGGATCAGCGACGGCATCCGCATGCACCACGACAGAAGAAGGTGGGAGAGCACACTGCGTCCCCCTCCACGACGAGCTGGCAATTGAAGGAGGGCATGTGACGGCTCTCGCTCGAGCACGAGTAACTAGAGGAGCGCCGCTGGATCCGATCGCTAGGGCCACGGGGGCCACGCAGCCTGAGCTGAGAGCGCAAGTATGGTGCAGGTGCATGCGTTTCGCGGGGACGCCGGCGGGTGAGCGCCGACTCCCCCGAACGTCGCGCCGCAAACGCGGGTCGCAAGGCTTGCTTGGGGCATCGTCGTAGGTTATGGTTACGGGGACGAAGGGAGGATGGCGCAAAGACCAAAAAAAAAGGTTAGGGACTCGGAGGAAGAGGAAGGCGGGCAGATGAGGGTGGGATGTCGGAAGAAGATGGGTGGGTGATGTCACGTCACGTCACACGAATTCTGGGAGAGAAGGAATAGCGGACAAACTCAGGGGAAGCGGAAAATAAGGATAAAAGTAAATAAATCAAAAGAGCGGAGAGCAAATGTCTCGCGCGCGAGGTTGAACTGCGTGGAAGTCGGTACAAAAAAAGCAACCATCTGCACCTTCAATGCGTCGGCGGGGAGTCGAATCCCGTTCAGCATCACTCTACGTTCAGGACAATTATACATTTGTGCAGAAGGACTGCGTGCACCGTGCACCATCGACGCTTCATCCCCCTCCTCTGAGGCTTAATTTACGCACTTTTTATTTCAGACCGAATAATCTGACCGGAATGTATTAATTATTTGAAACCACTCGCACTTTTAACATTATGACGGAGAAAAAACAGACTTCAATGCTCTGTGCTCCAGTAGGGGCGCTCAATTCTTAGTTCAGTTCGTCCGTCCGTTAATTATTTGTTCGTGTAAACAAAGTACAAATACAGCCACGCTCTTCTCTGATGCCGCATCCAACGAAAGCGCAGACTCAATCGGATGCCATGTTGTGGAAGGGCTTCTTGCGGCCTCAATCGCGCTCGAAGACGCCCCTGATCTTGATCTATTCATTGATGAAGATGAGTTTGATAGCAGAGGATAACTCCGAGATCCTCGAGCTCTCTGCTCTGAATTGGATCACAATTGCAGAAGAAATGGCAAACACTGGATTCAGGGGGGCCTATAACGTGATACCCAAGTCCGCCGATTTTTTCTCCGTCTGTTTGCGGGCCCCGGACCGGCAGGCGTGACTTTATTTGTACTTTGTTTACATGAACAAATAATGAATTAATTTGACGAACGGACGAACTGAACTAAGAATTGAGCGCCCCTAGTATTTCTTTCCATGATGAAAGATGAACGCAGGGAAAATGGTATCGAATCGCCGTAATGCGTCGGTGGGGAGTCGAACCCCGCTCAGTCTCATTTCAAAGTTCATGGATCCTTAATATAATGATTGCGTGCGCCGCGCACCACCGACGCTTCTATCATTCCTCGTATCCCGAATTTATACGACTCGCTTGCAGCCCAATTTTTCTGGTTGGCGGAGGAAGTAAATACACCACTTGTGGGGAATAGAAAAATTGAGATGCGCTGAAGTGGTCTTTCTATCATATTTACAAGGGGGCGGGCGGCTCGCAAGGCCACAGAAAAAAGAAACCGGCCTCCGTCAAATACGTCGGCAGGGAGTCGAACCCCGATTAGTCTCACGCGCTTCTCTTGATGTTTCTTGACGGAAGGCCCGTGTGCGCCGCGCTGCACCACCGACTTTTTATACCGTTCATCTTGGGCTGGGTTTATACCAATAATTTTCTTGCCTAATACTCAGCGGGATAATATAAAATAAGACCTCCGCGCACAGTGGTGGGCGCGGAGAAAATACATGGAAGATGGATGTGCATTTGATTTACTGCATGGAGAGGATGGATGTGCATCGATTTATTTGATCCTGAATGTATTTCGAGCTCGTGTGAAGGAAAAGAAATGTGTTGTAAACGCAGAAGGTATGGGCCGGCGGGGAGTCGTCCACTTACAGGCGCCTTCAAGTGGATGGTAGCAAGCTGGAATAAAATTGAATCTGTCAGGTATCAGCGGGGAATGTTATAACAACCCCCGTTCATTTCACTTCATAGTTCGCTTCGACTTAGCACGAAATATCACATTGTAAGGACTCAAAAAATGATCCAATCGACCGCACGCATGCATCAGCAGGGAATCGAACCCCCTCCGTCGTAATCTGAGTTGATTTTCGATATACACGGAGTGCACCTCTCAGCGCCTATGCTTACTATTCTTCTTGCTGCCAGCAATAAATCCACAGTACGGGAGAGACATTGTTGCCGCCGTCCGAAAAAGGGAAGGAAGCAGGAAGGAATGAAATAACCGCTGAGCTGGAGCATTGGCTCAGCGTGTACGACGTACATGCGATAAATAAACATCATCGGTGACAAAACCGCCACAATATATATGAATTTCCTGTGTGAATGCGGTCTAGTCGTCCATAAGAAAGAAAGGAAGTCCCACACTCGACTGGACCTCCATACTGACTGTAATATTGCGACCAAGTATGCACCGCAGACCGCCGACACCTGCAGACGAGAGAGATAGGAAAAATACCACAGCGTCTGTCGCTTGCAGCCAGGGCTCATCCGCTCGCTGTGGAAGTGTACTCTGTCTGCCTCGTGGCCAGAGCCCTTCTCACGATTTATATGCTTGAGGCAGATTTGATATCACTCTCATTAATTATTTTATTCCTCACATACTCTCCACTTTATCGAGCACTCCACTCGTACACACTCACTTCTCTCTATTTTACCTCCAGATTTGCTTCATCGCTCTGCGAGAGCATTCGAATCCGCTCCACCGCCGAAGGAATTCCCATGAGGCGTCAAGTTAGCTTTCTCGATCACGGAGGAATCATTTGCTATTGAGCTTTTTGATTGCATCTCACAGATTTTACTTACATTACCTACCACAGACATTTATTTCTCTCTCTACGTACAGCCTACGCGAGGTGCTGGACTCGAGGCATCGACTTTCTCGGACTACGCCAGGGATCGAGCCGACAGTGGTCTGGGCCCCCACTTGTCAACGTTGTGCGGCCAGCGTACTCTCCCTATCCGTCTTTGCGTAGCTCCCGGATCGCTTGATTGTCGAAGGTTCAGTTCTGAGCGGCGGCATATCCACGGACTCTTTATTTACGCATTGTTTGTACACATAGGGGGATCTCTCCTTGCTCTTGACTACCACCATATACCCACTCTCCTGCGCAGATTTCGACGATTCTGAACTATCCTGAGCCACGCTTGAGCTGAGTTATCCATTTCTCATTCATACTAATTGCTTTAGCCTCAGATTTATTCTTCTTATTCATACACTCACATATTGCTGCACACTTCCATCCACCTCTCAGCACGACCTAGGCACTCTCAGGTCCTCGCTTGGACCAACCTTTACTTCTTCAGTGGTGACCGAGCTAGGGGGTGCAGGTTTTCCGTTGCTGGGTTCTAGCTGAGTGCTGCAGTTCTTCATTTTCGCTCTTTAGCCCCTATCTTCATTCCTCCGCCAATTCCTCGATTCCCTTCATGCTTTTCGCTTCCCCACCATGTCTATGAACTACCCTCCGAGTCCTTACCCTTCTATGCTCGCTCCGAGCGCTCCTCCTTCCGCGATTCGCCTTCTTATTCCCATGCCAATTCCTCGAACTCCCACTGCTCCACACTTCAATTGTTCCAATGTCCGCGAGTTTCTGCAGCTGATTTTGATCCATGGAGCGAATGCAGGCATCACCGAGATCGATTCGCTCGTCCCCTTCATCGAGCGCTACTCGTCTGACCGTGTCCGAGACCTGATTCGATACATGCCGGAGTTCGATCCAGACATACCCCACAAGACTTGGAGCGAAGCCGAGACCACTCTACTCAATCTTTATGGCTCGTTCGACGAGAAACCGCCTCTACGCCTCGAGGATTTGCTCAAGTTTTGCCAAGACCGCTCCGCTACGTCTTCCTTGCGCAATATTTCGGACATTCAGCATTACTTACGTTCTTTTCTTTCAATTGCAGCTCCGCTTCTTAAGCAAGGTGATATAAACGAATCTCAACGCGATTATTACTTCGTGAGCGGTATTCCGAGTCGCATGAAGTCCACGTTCATCTCCCGAGTTCCGGACAACCAAAGTACGCGATCTAATCCCATTCCACTAACCGATTCTGTAGCTATTTTGCGCGAACTATTGGACGATGATTTCCTCTTCCCCAACCTCTGGAGCGAGCCTGAAGAGTCAAATGCAGCCGAAGTAGCTTCTCCGACGTCCTCAAAGCTAAGTTCTCCTTCTATTCCTAGCGTTCCCGAGCCCACTCCATTAATTCCTCCAAGTGCTCCTCAATTCCGCCGCCGATTGGATCCACTTTCTACGACTTCAACCACAATTCCGGCGCCATTATTGAACCAAGAACCGCGTTGCCGATTGCTACACGCTGCTTCTATCGAGTCGCATTTTGATTCCGCGCAGAATGACCATACTTACGACGATATTTTCGAGGAAAGTCTGATTTATTATTGTTGCACTGAGCAATTAACTAATTCCTCTCCCACATCTTCTACATCCGCTGATGAGGCTCGCATGCTCAATTGCCCTGCAGCCGAGCGATCCGAGTTAAGTGTCACTTCAACCATTGATTTATGCGATACTGTGGATTACTATGATAGATCTGAGTACGATCTCGACAGCATTTGCGACTTGTACACCGATGTTGAGTTCATTCACGCTATCTTTCCGATTTTACGGCAGGAGACTGGCACAAAAACCGCGCTTTTGACCGATTTTACTGAGTCTACGCAGCTGCATCCGTTCCGTGGTGATATTACACCCGTCCAACCCGATTATTCCTTCCCTAAGCTGAGTTTCCAAGCTCAATCTCCGATTCCCACCCATTCCGAGACCGAATCAATCACTGAGATATTCCTAGATGCGATTTTGGCCGAGGAACAATTCATCGAACCTGCTACAAGCATCCAGAGCCATTCTAGCGATTTAGATTCACTAACTTCTATCCCCGACGATTCTGACGAAGATCTGTGCACCCTTTTCGAACTTTACACCGAGCAAACCGAGCAACCGAGCCAAACCGAGTCTTTTACACGAGCTGAGTACCAACCTTTCCTTTCGCGCACATCTTACGATCACGAATCCGTCCCAGAGTCGATTGCTTCAAGCATTGAATTATTCAATACAATCGAGCCAACAGATAGTCCGCCGAGTTACCAAGACTCTGTTTTAATTGCCAAGCGGAGCTTCGCTTATGCACGTCCCAGAATCAGAGCTGAGTTCCTCATCAAATTAATTCCCACTACTATCACCCTCAGCCTACTCGCTTTCCTCTCGTTCTTTTATTCTCTGATCTATTACTTTCATTCCGGATTCAACTTCCTCGCTGATCATAATTTCGAAACCTTAGACTCAAGCAAGTACGACGAAATACTCAGAACAATTCCGAAACTTCGAGCACCAAATCACGTCCACGATGAAGTTGATTCGGCGCAGGAGGATGTCACTGACCGCAACATATTCGAGGAAAGTCAAATTTATTACTGCTACTCCGAGCAATTGACTGATTCCGTTGATACTTCTCGAACATCCATCGTTCCAAGCCGTTCAACCGATTCCTCTTCGGAGAACCCAACCACCGCGCATGCCTTCGTTCCGTGCGATCTTTCGGATGATTACAAGATTTCTGATACTTCTAAGTTGAGTTTCTCATTCGTCAATGAATCCTCCGATCCCCTGGATTTTTACGACAGTTCCGAGTACGATCTCGACAATATTTTCGACTTATACACAGATGTTGAGTACATTCAGGCTACCTTTTCAAATTCTGCGAGGAATTTCGTGACTAAATTCGAGTATTCGACGAATTCTGCGGAGTCCTTGCTGGTATATCCCTCCAACTGCGCTAATGAATCCGAACATCGTGATTTTACATCTCCCGAGCTGAGTTTCCCTTCACTTTCCGCTACCTCCAACGATTCCGAGTCCGATTCCATCACTGAATTATTTCTAGAAGAGATTTTCGCTGAGGAACAATCCATCGAACCTGCTACTGCCGCGAACGATCAGAATGATTTCAAATCACTGACTACTGTTCCAGACAATTCTGACGAAGATCTGTGCACCATTTTTGAACTTTACACCGAGATATCCGAGCAACCGAGCCAAACCGAGTATTTTAAACACGCTGAGTCCCCCAATTTCTTTCTGCACACATCTTGCGTCGACGAATTCCTTCCAGAGTCATTCCAGTCCCAACAAAAGTCGTTCACCCCACCCGATGATCCGCCGAGTTATATCATGTCTATTTCTGGCAGCAATCGGAGTTTTGCTTATGCACGTCCCAGAATCAGAGCTGAGTTCCTCTCGATTTTATGTTCCACTATTATCCACCACATCCTCCTTGCTTTCCTCTCGCTTATTTATTCTCTCATCTATTACTTTCACGCCGGATTCAACTTCCTCGCTGATCATAATTTTGAAACCTTAGATTCCAGCAAGAACGACGAAGTATTCAGCGGATTTGGCATCACTCCTGGATTTCGAGCTCCGAATCAAGTCCACAATCTCAAATTCGGCGCAATCCGCACTCCTTGCTGAGCCATTGGCGCCCGATGAGTGTTTCAATTTTATTTGAGCCACATACCCTGATTTCCCATTTCCTTTCCTGAATGCTTCTTTGAGCGGGATTCCGAGGGCGAAATCCAAAGTAACCCCCTCT